CTCCTATTTATATTCCTGTGAAACAGGAAGCCATGGCTGGATCATTTCATGTTCATAATCACCCTGGTATGCTCAAAATTGTAAATATGAATGGGAATATACTTTACAGATATTTTACTCATAAGAATTTCTAGGGGTACCAATAATTGTGTCCAACGTGTATTTGAGAAAAACATTTATGTCATAATGATATTTCCCCCCATTTTAAATTCTAATCCTCCAATGAAAGGTTAGATTTATGTGAATTTTAAATAAAAGATCAAAATGTTTAACAATGCAGATTTATTTTCACAGCCTTCTTTGATCATATTTACCAAGGGTGCCAATAATTCTGACCACGACTGTGTATATATATATATATATATATATAGGTTTAATTTACTTTGGTTTAAATATATGTATACAATGATTTAAAAAAATATATTTGAATGTTTTTAAATAATAGCAAATTCAATTTAAATAATGTAATAAAATAAAATAACTCCAGATATATAATTGGATACATCAACAACCAGCAGATAAAAGCAAGTCCCCCACCCCACTTTTCTTCTATATTGAGACTTACGTTTCACTCAAACTTGTCACAATACAGAAGAAAAGATCTGATCAGACATACGTTTCATCTGTTGAGACTGCACAGACTCAAGAGTCATATGGGTCATTTGCTGAAGAGACTCTCCCAGCAGGCACTTTTAGTCAAGCTAAACATTGTTATTATGGTGCTTTAAATATGACAAACTCTGTAGTGTGAGATGTGCTAACAGTGCTTTAATGCAAGTGGTTACTTCAGGGGTGTCCAAACTCGGTCCTGGAGTTTAGCTCCAACTTGCCTCAACACACCTGCCTGGAAGTTTCTTGTATGCCTAGGAAGACCTTGATTAGCTGGTTCAGGTCGGTTTAATTGAGGTTGGAGTTAAACTCTACAGGGCAGTGGCCCTCCAAGACACCCCTGGATTACTTCATGACCATAAAACTGTGAAATATTACATGTCGTAAGTTTACATCTAGTTGAAATGTATGAAATCATAAGCAGATATATTGGTTTGGTTATACCTTTGCCGGCTCCTTATGTGTCATGGTCATTTTGAGGAAAGCACGCTGGACCTGAAGGGCATTGCTCACCATCTCTGCCTGTTGGATAAAAAAATTAAAGCAACAACACATTTATTTATTTTATATTTGTAATAGTATTGTACTTAATAGCATTTTGTGGTGGAACTAACATTATGAACATTTTTGCAATATGTCTTGCGAAGGCTAAGTTTCTCCAAGCATTTTATGTACACGCACAATTAAATTATGATTTTGCATGTTTTGCCTAATTTTTGAATTGAAAAGCTCACAATAGCATTCTTTTAATAAATATGTGAAATGTAAATAATAAATATATAAAACATATTCATGTAAATATAAGTGATATTTACCTTTTTTGCTTTCTTTAATATAATGTTCATTCAATTAAAGTCAATCGTTTTTTTTATATTTCACTGTTTTCAAATGAACCCTATTATTAATCATATTATTTGGAATGTGAAAATATTTTTATGATGGATTTTAAGATTTAAAGTCTGGTTCTAGGACAATGATGAAACAACATCCATAAAGGGCATTTGAGAAGCAGCAAAAATTAAGGTAGAAAGAGTTGAAGAAAGTTTTACTGTGACCTTTATATAATAAAAAGTTCTGTTATATAAAAATCAACCGTGGGCACATAAAGTACCAAAGTTAGAGAAATGCCTAAATGAAGTAAAACCTAATTGGATGGAACTGAACCCTCTGCTGCACACACACACACACACACACAAATTGAGGCAAATCCTACATTTAGGAAAAGACTTCCCCTTGCAGAACATGGGGAAAGCCAGAGGTCTGTTTTACCTTAAAAGGAGCTGACTATAGGAGATAAAACCCTCTCCCAGCCCATGTCTTTCAGCACTGATGAGAAACTTAGATTGGTGAATGTTGCCTTTCGAGGTAAAGACACTTCACAGGGTTTATCATCGGTAATTCCCACACTTTCAGGTTCAAAAGGTCATCTCTGCATGACTCCCGGTTAAATCAAGGCAATCAGGCTGTGGTTCAGACCAGCAGTGTGTGGCAGAGGAGAAAGGGATATTGTATGCGATCTCTTTCTAGAACTCTTCTAAGAAGTTTTATGCCAATCTTAACTGGATCGAAACAATAACTGTGCAATTATACTGTAGTTTATTACAGTTTCACATATATAAATAATTTTTCATTAACTGTTCCCTCCTGGTGGAATGACCTGCCCAAATCAATCCGAGCAGCTGAGTCCTTAACCATCTTCAAGAAACGACTAAAAACACATCTGTTCCACCTTTATTTGACCCTCTAACTCTAACCCTTTCTATTCTATTTTAATTCTTCTTTATCTATATTTATCTTCTTTTATGTTTTATTAAAAAACAAAAACAACAAAAAACAAACAAACACTAGCTTTCAATTTTTTCTATTCTATCTACTTGTTTTTCTTTGTATGTGTGTGTGTATATAATATATATATATATATATATATATATATATATATACATAGACCTTGCTATGTGTACCGTGTTAGGCTAACCGAGACTTGTTATTTGCACTTATATATTGTTGCTCTTTTGTTCGTTTTGACTGCTTTTATTGTCCTCATTTGTGAGTCGCTTTAGCTAAAAGTGTCTGCTAAATGACTAAATGTAAATGTAATAAACATGTCATGTTTCAATCTGGGTTTTTGTTTGCACATTTCAATACAAAGGTATAAACTAAACTGAAGATGTTCCTCTAAGATTCTAATATTGGGTAAAGAAAAAAATAATTATTATTTATTAAGTATTATAATACGTAGTATTGTGTACATCTGTCAAAGTTTGGGGATTGAAAGATGTTTTTGAAAGAAATGTTTTGACAGAAGTCTCTTAAGCTCGCTATAATAACAGTAATATTGTGAAATATTATTAAAATTTTATTCTACTTGAATATATTCTAAAATGTAATTTATTCCTGTAATGCAAAGCTATATTTTCAGCATCATTACGCTGGTCTTCAGTGTCACATGATCCTTCAGAAATCATTCTAATATGCTGATTTGGTGCTCAAGAAATATTTCTTATTATAATCATGTTGATAACAGTGCTGTTTAATATTTTTGTGCTAACCATTTATTTGAAATTTCTTGGAATCTTGGAACAATGAAAACAAATCTTACTGACCCCTGACTTTTTTCTATACTGCATATTATTTAAATAAATATTGTATTATATAATATTATTTAAATAGATATAGAAAATATAATATTTGACATATTATATTTAAAACATAAAAAAGACCATTTGTCTTTATTTACACTAATCTTACTATTTTACACACTATAAGTGGGGTTGTATACGTGAAAATATACAGTTGCCTTTATATTTTAAGAAGAGAGTCCTTAGGGGATCATCATATCTGGACGTTGTTGGCATTAAAAAGTTTGAAAACCCCCCAAAAGACCACATCTACACAGACCAACAGACCATGACAAGTTCCCACAAACATTTAGCACAGACAGTCTCTTTTTTCACTGAGCAAAAGATCCCGCACACCCACTCACACAATGTCAAAGAGCCATTTCTCATCTCTTATTAGACCAAAAGAGAAACGTTTCCTCTCTGAGTTGAGCTTGAGGAGGATTCCAGTGTTAACAAAGAGGACACATACATCCCTCTCCCACTTTCTTTCTGCTCTTTTCACCCATCCTCTCTCCCTCTTCTCATAATATTACATTCCATCACTAGAATGAGCCACTGTGCCTCTGTGTACACTAAGTACATTGTCCAGCGCCTGATTTATCAAGCAGCTCTTTAGTTACCAATCGGTAGCGACTGGACATGAAATGTAAGCCATACAGACCGTTATGTACTGTCAGTCAAAAAGAAGCCCTAACATTTCAGTTATTGTTTGCAGGCCCTATTCTATTTTAAAACAAGCAGATGATACATGACTTGCAGATCCAATTTACAGACTCCAGCATATTTTGTGTATAATTTATGTTGTTTTTAAGATATCTGACACAAAACAATGACTAAAATAAAATAACTACATCAAAAATCTTATTGCTGAAAATAAGAATTAATATTAAAATTATTATTGTTGTTATTATTAGTATTAATGTTATTGTTATTATTAGTAATAATGCCACTATTTAAATAACTTATTACAGAACCAATAACTCAAGTAGAACAATTTGGAGGGAAAAAAATGGTCAAACTAAATATAATCTATCACTAAAAAAAAACACTGTGAAAACATTGAATTGCACACACAAACTCGAGACTGGAGGAAGCAGAAGAGAGAGTTCAGAAATCCCATTCACTGACATCCATATCCATTATATATTTCAGACTTTGTTAATGTGCAGTTTGCCAAGGCTAATGCCACTCTGTTCCAATGAGAATATGTTTCCCATGAAGAAAACAAATCCCCTAAAAGTCTTCTCCTTAAGATAATCTGTACAGACAATGCCCTGTGGACTCATCAAAACAGACCACAACAGCATTTTATGCTTTATAAATAAAAACTATTAATATATTGAATAATTCAGGATCTGCTCGCGTTTACAATTATGGATGCCACAATTACGTAATCATTCAAAGCGGCAATTAATCGTTAAAAGTCCATTTATGTTATTCTGCACTCTTAAGATATGTTTTTTTATTTCTCCATGTTATCTTAAGGGTTTTTCCATTGTTTTAGTTTTAGTATAACATTATAATACCATTCATATTTGTACTTTTTCTATAATTTAAAGAAGAAACCAATCCGATGTATATTTGACATTTAAGGCTTAATACTATAGAAAAGCACTAAAGGTTTTTCAGTTAGAGTGTTTTCAGCTTGTTTATTTTCATATAACAATACGGCATGCAGTTGCATCAAACAATGGTATAAACATCATTCAATGTCAATTGTGATAATCGTAATTATTAATAATCGCAATTACAATTTCAAGGGAATAATCGACAATTATGATTTTTGTCATAATCGTGCAACCCTAATCTGCTGTACTTATGATACCTCCGTTGATAATGCTGCTGATGTCTCCGTTGACCAAACCCCCAGGACAGTTCTGCAGTTTGACCGCCACCGCCTCCAGACGAATTACTGCCTGCTCCAGACGCTCAACCAGTGTTTCCATGTCAACGGTCCTGGAGAAACAGAGCAAACTCTTGGCCTGTGCTAAATGGCCGTTATGGCCTATGAAAGCTGTTTGCTTTGTTGGAACTTCATGACCTGAGTACCAGTCTGTTCAATAAAACACTGTCTGCCCCCTGTAACGGTCAAACGACAGCACGTATCCCAGAGAAACTTGACAACAATAATTATGAGGAATGTTTTATTGACTTTCTTGGAGTCTGCCAGTGATACCAGTCACTGCCATCATAACATCTACTATCAAAAATATACAAATATTGTTATTACAATAATATTAATATATTATAATAAATGATAAAGTAGCTAATATTGGCTTTCTGCAAATCTAGCGCTCACACAGACACTGTGAGTATATGAAGGCGTGGAGAGTTCACTGGCAGCCATCCACATGACCACACCTCAATACTCATCTGCTGCCTAACAGGAATGTAACAGTCAATTCGGTTATGACAGCGTCAAGAGGAGGCCACAAACTGTGCTGTTGACAGTCCAAAATCAGCAGTTTATCCAACTATTTCATTACATAACATGTTTATTATCCCCATATTAAAACCCTTTGAAAAGAACTCAACCAGAATGCAGTACAAACCATAAATATTTCTGCTATCTTCACATGTTTCAGCCTCCATCTGAGCACCCGATCAGCAAATACAAATTCTGTTCTATATTTGAAATGTTTTAGACATTATTAGTCATTATTAATAAAAAAAAAACAACATAAAATCAGTCATTAGACCTGCTTCGTTCATCTTTCATTTCTGACCTTTAGTCATTAAAAACTATTCATTAAATCAAACTGACTTAAAGTGTGTGTGTGTGTGTGTGTGTGTGTATATATATGGACATCTGTAGCTCAACTTCTCAAGAAATTATGTAGGGACATTAATATAGATACTAATAATCTTTTCATGGGCTGTATGGAGGATATTCTGAAGAAATATGGTTTGTGCATCTACGTCATTTACATCACTTACCGTGTTTGAATAACCAGGGGTATAGAAATGTTTTATGAAGAGGGGGGACAAAATGTAATGACTATCTCCCAAAAAGGTGGGAGTTGCGACATCCTGGTGACAACTACTACTGAATTTCACCTTTGTTATTAACATTCCCTTGCAAAATTGTATCTGTATATAGATTATTTTGTACATGCATATTGTGGCTATCTTGTCTTTTGTGTCCACACATATTTGTATTACATTTTTTGCGTTAAAAGCATTAAAATCATTGATAGTAGTATTTACATTTTTTTATATTTTATATTATGTTTTTAAATTTTATAATATTTTTACATGCTTTACATAATTGATATTTTGTAATAAATAATACAAATGCACAAATGCTTTCTTGAAACAAAGCTCTGATATTTAGCAAATATGGTGATGGGACATACAGTATGCGACCCTGGACCACAAAACCAGTCATAAAGCAGTCAATATAATATTCAAAATTACGAAATATATTTATTAAAGGAATATTAATTGTTCTGAAATCTAGCCAATATACAAGCCCACATGGGGAGTAGGCTATGTCACCCTATTGATTTATAATAATATTAACATATAAGAATTGCTACTAGACAGCATCACTTGAAATGTAGCGCATGGCATGTCTAATAACAGAGCTAAAGTAACTAGCAGGCAGCAGACGCCTGCACGCGCTGATATGACAACTGACAGACCCTGCAATTAGTGAAAAGATAAGGCACCCTGCCCTCTGACACCAACACACCACTGCTGCAACCTAAAAATCGTGCTAATTCAAACCAAATTGCTGCCAGCACAGGCACAGCGAGTGCGCGTGTCTCCAAACACAAAAACGCGCACGTTTCCATGAGAACCTCCCACCCGCTCAGAGCGCGAGGCGCGACCCAAAACGTCCCGCTAACGACCTGGAAACATAACATGACAGAGACAAGAGTCATTCTCACCCAAATATTACCTCTGACAAGGGATCCGGGGTTTACTCTCACGTTTTCTTTAGAAAAAGCGAGATGTGTATCGGCTATGGCGGTCTGGTCCTGGCGTCCCCGGCGCTCTCCTGCTGTCACTCGACTGAGCCTTGGGCAGCCGCTTCCGGGACTTCCGTATTTGGGAAGGATGAATCCGAGAAAGGTTACATCAAGATGCCTAGATAGAGCAGTGAGACAGTTCGACTGAGAAGGTTTCTAAGGACATCTTGAATCTTGATGGTGCCACCTTGAATGACAGTAATATATACTGAAAGAATAGCAACCACCTATTGAGTAAATATGAAAATATGACACTGAATGCCACTAAATTAATTTCAGAAGGTGTTTTTCTATCTATATGTGAATGGTTTTATTACAAGTGTCATAAAATTCCTGGAAAAATACAAGGTTGGCATAATCTTTGAGCTTTTTTTAAATAATAAATGTTGAAGCAAATTATAAAAGGCATATTATTAGCATAACCATTATTAATAATATACTTTTGTGTGCCAAAAAGTCAGTATTCAAGCCACTTTTTTGTCATGTAAAAAAACACACACACACACACACACACACACACACATAAAAAACCTAAACCCTAAATATCACCATATTAGGTCAGATAGTAAAATATTTGTTTGTTTGTTTTTAATAGTGATTGTTTATGCTTGCTGTTTTCAAGGTGCAAGGATAAGTAAATATTTTAGTGTTTTACCTGTCACTAAATCAAAATTTTATAGAAAATATTAAATATCAAAAATATAATTGAATAGTAAAATATGAAAATACTAAATATCAAAATATTAATATAAATATTATTGAAACATAAATGTATTAAGCCAATATGAACACAAGGATAACAAACATTTGTAAGAACTTGTTACATGGTTTGAGCTAGATTACGTTTATCATCTCAAACATCCATATTTGTCAGAGAATACTACTGCACTATGGAACAAAATGTAAAAATAAATATATGCATACATAAACCGCATTGATGATCATTTTGTTACTTTTGTTTATTAGTTTATTCAATTTCCATTACCTATCGATTTGCTTCATTGCACTTTTGACACTACAACAGATTATGAAGTAATCTGCCTGTCAGCCGGTATCAGTGCCTTTATTCTGCATCAGTTCCCGGTGGCGTGTTCTTCCCGCGGTCCTGTGCTATCATGGCCGACGTTAGACAGGCATCCCTGGTGATGGTGTGGTGGAAAGTTTCCACCCCTGCTGTGTCACAGTGGTACTGAAACACGAGCTAGCATCAGGTTACACGGCGGGCAGAAATAGAACATCCTCGAGAAGTACCAAGTGCACAGAAAGGCCCTAAATAATTCACTGAGCCACTGCGGGTCTTCAATATGCAAAATGGCGTTGAAAGGAATACAGATGCTGGGTTGGTTTGGGTTTTAAGTACAGATAAAACATGCGTGAGGTTTATATTTAAATTTAGGATTGAGTTACATGGGATGTCAGACTGGATTGGAATTTAGGCCCGGTTTATGGTCATTACCCAAAGTGCTCTGTCCTGAACATTAGAAGACTGGGTACAACTAGGTCAACATGGTGGATCTCAGATCCATGACACAGCGATTTGGCTCAAACATTGCTCAATCTATCTATCTATCCCGTATGAGGTTCACAAACAACACGCATACACAAATTTGCTTATACCATCACCTGACTAGTCATATTAAATTATATTTAGTGATTCTGGCGACATGCGTTTACACAAACACATTCGTTATTCATCAGCCATCTGAAATCAACACGTAATCATGTGTTTATTCAACATGTCTCCCTTCTCTAGTTTAAACATGCAGGGTTCATTTGAATCGTTTTGCAATGGAGCAAAACAGAATACATTTCACAAATGAAGTAAACGGAACTATCGCTAAAGGAATATTTGCAGTTCAGTACAAATTAAGCTCAATCGACAGCACTTGTGGGATTTTGTTGATTACCACATTTATTCAGCCTTTTTTAACTCGCCTCTCATTTTCTTTCACAAAAAGAGTTTATAGTCATGCACTTACAATGGAAGTGAATGGGGCTCACTGTTTCAATGTGACAGCTACATGATGTAGAGAGGTTTTCAAGTTAACATGCTTTTAGAGAAGAAAAATCTGCTTAATCTTTTCCGCAGGAAGTTCCAATTTGTACAGCTTTGCCAAAGCCTCTAAAACTCAAACAACTGTAAAAATAAATAAATAAATAAAAAATAAATTTTGAACATCTTTACAGATCAAATAATACACAAGTTTTAACAGAAGAATTTATGTAAGTGCTTTTGAACACTATCCTCCAAAAATGGCCCTATTCAATTCCATTGTGTCTCACCATAAGCTTGATTTAAAAAAAAATAAAAGTTGCGTTATTGATTGATTGCAGTTTAACCAGAGGAAATAATGTATTTTCTTTTATTTTTTAAATGGAATCTTAAAATTTCAAATTTCTGCTTTTAAAAACTGGCCACATTTACTTTCACTGTTAGAAACTTTGTGTGTGTGTGTGTGTTAACAATGGGCAAAGTGTCGCAATCAACATTATGCCACAAATGCTGTCTGTTTTAACAGAAGAAATCATTGCAATTATAAAATTATAAGCTTTACATTTCTGCTTTAAATCCTCTATAACATTGGCCCATTCACTTCCATTGTAAGTGCCTCACCACAACCTTTTTTTGTGTGTGTGTGGGCGTGTCCAAATTAATTTTTGTGCTAATCGATATTAAAGGTCACAAAAACTGTTGATTGAGCTTAACTTGTAATGAACCCTGAATATTGCTCCACCGGCTCCATTATTAAGCAATGTCTGGACAGGCAGAGATGAGGTCAGTTAAATTTGTCACCTCACAAACCAGCATAAACAAAGTCATAAATAAGCATCTCGGTGTGTGGCGAGGACAAGTGACAGCCTGTGTGTTTATACTGTTGGCTTGCTGAGAATATCTGCTTCTTTTTCACGACACCATCAATGAGAAACACACAACAGCTTGTTCTTCGTCACTGCAGTGGTAAAGCTACCGCCTGTCGAAACAAAGACCATAAGAAACAAAACAGGAGCACTTTTAAGCCATTTAAATATTTTGCAATTCACCATATAATAAGTTTGAACCGGGAAGAATCAATGATGTAGCAATGACCTAGAATGTGTGCTTTTGAAATACAATGAATAAGTTACACAATATAACAATCCAAACCATGAGCACACCATCTAACAGATCCAAAAGCTGTATCCCAATGGAAACCGTGACAAAAATCAGGCCTGTGCAATGAACAAAGCATTTGAGGTTTAAATATAGAACCTTTTATTTCCATTTTGAGTAAATAGTGAAGAAGATCTGAAATAAGGCTTAAATACCTACAGAACGTTCGTATTTAAATAGTCATTAACGCTTGACATGCCCAAATCCAGTGACAATGAAAAAAGTCCTTTGTGTGTTGTTATTCTTCTTTTTTCATATTTTCCCTTGTAAGAAAGAGTTCAAGTATAAAAATTCTCAACAGTGTAAAATAGCCCATTTGATGCATATTTAAAGCAATAGAAGCACAGCATCCATCATCGACATTGACAATACATTCTAGTGTATGAAGCAGCATGTCCCTTAGGTTTCGCCAAGTCTTTTTTTTTTGTCCTTTCGCCAAGTCTTTTAAACAGTTCTGGATGACAAATGGAGATGCATGCCCAAAACAACAGGCCTGCAATAAAATAAATGTCATACGATAGGCATTACACTAGCTGATATTTAATGTTGTGTTCTAAAATTCCAAATGTATAAAGAAGAAAAAAAAAGAAGAATTGTACAGTGCACATACAGAATTGTATCTTAAGTCCTACACCAACATTTTTGGTTGAGTATGTTAATAATGCTACAGCTATGTCCTTTCGCCAAGTCTTTTAAACAGTTCTGGATATGACAAATGGAGATGCATGCCCAAAACAACAGGCCTGCAATAAAATAAATGTCATACGATAGGCATTACACTAGCTGATATTTAATGTTGTGTTCTAAAATTCCAAATGTATAAAGAAGAAAAAAAAGAAGAATTGTACAGTGCACATACAGAATTGTATCTTAAGTCCTACACCAACATTTTTGGTTGAGTATGTTAATAATGCTACAGCTAAGCCTACTCAATAACTTATAATAATATGCCATGAGATGAATACATTATATCCATACAGTACCACTTCCAAGTCAGTGATCTTAGAGCACAACATAAGTCAACTCAAAATAAATATCTTAAATAGCAGATGTCTTTAAATAGCATTACAAATGTAAGGCACACAAAGAACCCTCGTACGCACAGATTTGGATCCTTTCACTATAGTGCTGTTCTGTAAAGAGTTGCTCATTGAAATACATAGACCTTATTACCTGTGCTGGTGCTCAGACATATTTCTTAGTGAACATATAAAGACCAGGCCGATAGCGGTTCATTGGTATAGGGTAAAAAGCTTGCAGGAACCCCCCTCCCTTATCGCGGATCCTCATCCTGTTCCAGATAAAGATCCGTCGCTGATATCGGGAGGATGCACAGGTCTGTCCTCAAGCTTCTGGACCCTCTCTAGGAGGATAAGAGTTGACAGACCCGGAGCATGACCGAAGTCCAGGGATGAAACTGTGACAGCTCAATAAACGAGCACCAGTGATCTTTCCAGAGCAATCTGTCTGTGTGTGTGTGTGTGTGTCTCAGTGCCTGTTCCTTCCAACACAGCAATTGCTCCCCGATTCTAGTACTAGTACGGAGCAATGCCCCATGCTTTTTTCCCTACGTCGTCATCTTTGTGTATGCGTTTGCGTCCTCCCTCGCCCACAGACAGACATTAACACTTAAATTTTTGTGTAACTGTGTACATGTTAGTCCGTGTGTTTTGTAAGCATATAATACAATACGTCTCAGTCTTTTTGTCTTTTCGAGAGTGCCTTCAAATTGTTCGATGCCCATTGTGGGGGAGCAAAAGAAAATCTCTCCTGTTCCTGCACTTTGTTTTGTCCCCTAGCGGCCTGTTTGCTTTGCATAGGTCAGGAGGTCAATACAGGAGTCAGAGAAAGGGGGGACATTCAGCATCAGATAGATAAAAAAGGTAGTTCACAACACATAAAACATGCTAACACTGGATCTTTCTCCATTTCGCCACAGTTAGGTCTACTATCCCTGATTGGCAGAGTGTGTCGTTTCTAAATCGCTGAAAAATGCTCCATTTCCCTGATGATCAAAAAAAATGCACTTGAGAAGAAAACAGAACAAAAAGAGCCCTCAAAAA